AGCACCCACAGCATCAGCACTGTCTCTTGACATTCCTCCCCCTGCACACCCCATTGAAAGGAGGGAAGACGGAGGGACGGGCAAGATCCTGAGAGGGGACACAAGGAGACCAAATGACCCAAAATAAGCAAAGGGATATTCCATACCATACGACCTCAGCTCAGATATGAAAAGAGGACGAAGCGGGGGAGGCATTCATTGTTTACAATGTTTGCCTTCTGGAACAACTACTCCATGTGCAGAAGCCCTGCTTCCCAGGAAAATAACCAAACACTGCTTGCTAATGGGAAGTAGAGAATAAACCTTGTTATTTTCCTCTTCACTTGGGCACATGCAAATTTTCTCTTTTGCTTTAGTAAAGTGCTTATTCCAATCTACAAGTCGTTTTACATCTTATTCTCTCCCCCCGTCGAGTTGGGAAGGGAAGTGATAGAGTGGCTTGGTGGGCACCTGGCGTCCAACCAAGGTCAACCCACCACAGCAGGTTTTCTGTGTAAATCATTTCTTTATCTTGCACTTTATGTTATTAGTATTGGTGTGTTACTGTTTGCTTTCGTATCTCATTGCTGTCAATTGTTCTTATCTCACCCTGTGACTTTCACCTTTTGTGCCTCCAATTCTCAACTCCATTCTGCCAGAGTGGGAAGAGGGAGGGTAAAGGGGGAGCAAGCAGCAGTGTGGTTTGGAGTCTCTTTGGGAGAACTGAATTGGGGAGTACCATTCCTAAACCATGACACACACATATGCACACACACACACATATATGTATATATATGTCTCCCTTTTTATTTATGCTTAGTTTATGATTTGTATATATTCTAGTGAAGGCTACCTAATACAGTATGTGTGTCTTAACTAATATTTATTAGGCAAGTGAATCTGCTTTACTCTGATACTCCTGTGAATATACCACATAACAGCAAAATGAAAGTTCCTTTCTACAGTACACTTATCAATACCCAGTGAACTGTCCCACAAGCCTCCTTCATTCTGACTTTGGACTATTGGTTTTGTCCTACTAATCAGTGCTAGGAGCTTAGTTTCTTATAGGGGTAAGAAGCCTCAGTGCCATCAGGATACACAGTATCATTGGTACATTCAGTACCGTACAGGGGACACCTCAGTTCATTACAGCAAATACTGGTGCATAAAACCTCAAAACTACCCACTTGTCTGATCTGAAGTGCACTGCTGATGACATCACATTCATCCTACAGCCATACCTGAAGGAAAAAGAAGTCCTTGAAAAACGCTGTCTTCAGTGATCAGGTTAAACCTTGGAGAATTGACTTGCAGTCTTTTAAAACAAAAGTTCACACTGCTGCTAATGCCTAGGCTTGCACATTCCAAGATGTGACAATTTTTGATAGGGCTGTCTTTGCCTCAGCTTCCTGGCTTCAGTGTGAACCTGTTCACTGCTTAAACGAGACATATTTCTTGATCACTTTCTCCCTCGCCAAAGCTGTGGCCCATCCACCCAGCACATAAATTATAAATGCATTGCAGATTTTGGAAAGCTCAGAGAGCTACATAGAGGCGAAATAACTGAGGTAGTTGAGATGTGGCTATAGAGTTAAAAAGTTGCAGAGAATCCTTGCTGTCAAGTGTGACCAGCAGTAGGTGATCTAGTACATGTAGATACTCAATAGTGTAATGATGTTGCTTTAATATTACTGTTTTATTGTAACTTTGGCAGTAAGTTTCCACTGATGTTTAGCACAGACTGTGGTGGGATGTATAGGCATACGTGTTTTTTCTATGAAAATAGAATAATTTTTCGGTTTGTATTGTTTTCTTTTGTCTTAGTGGAAACTGTCACACAGAGTACTAGGGAAATGTACATGCTTCTGCAGCGTTATTATTATTGAGCAAGTTCATATGAGGCTTCAATAAGAACCTGATTTTTCTTATAAAAATCACAAAAAAATTTTTGGGATTTTTCAAATCACTTAATTTGAGTTTGACCTTTTACAGGTTTTTGCTATAATGCCCTTATAGTAGATTACAGTTAGAATAGACAGTAATAGTTTTATAGGGTCTTAAGCTGTTTTTCCAAAATAGTTCAAAACCAAACAATTTATAAGCAGTTAGAATGACCCTGCAAACACCTACATGCATGAAATGTGCTGTGCATAATTTATTAATTTTGTTTAAGGAGTTTCAATGGAACCATTTTGGTTTGGGGTGCTAGAGTAAGTAGGAAGGGACAGATCCCTTGGCCTTCTTATTTCTGCATATTTCTAATTTTACCTTGGTGCTTTTGCTAGCAAAAGGTGTTGCTCCTCCCTTTTTCTTTTTTTTTGTTTATGCACATCCTAGAGTGATAGTATTAGGAAAGAATGAGGCTGATCATTGAGTTAATTCCCCAGAGAGGTCTGTTCCAAAGGATGTGTTTTCTGTAATGAAATGCCACAATTCATGGTTTGTTCCCACTGAGGATGACCACACAGCCTGTCAGATACTGGCCCTGCTAAAGTCCTGTTTACTTGATCAATGATAAGAAGAGTTGAACTACAAGGATGAGAGAGCTCTTAGTGAAGCAACTAAATGCCTGTGCCAACTTGCACTGTGTAGCTGTGTCATTCTCTGCCATCTGCCACTGCAAAAACTCTTGAGCACCAAACAGGATTACAAGAAAGCAAGGAGAAAATATCCAACCTGTCCCAAGGCTGTGTTGTGTTATTGTGTAGCTGTTGTTTCTATTTACCGCAAGAGCTGCTTCTCACCATAAAGTAATGAGTTAGGTAGTAAAAGTAATTTCTGTGGGCATTAAGGCAAGTGATGTGAAAAGTACAGCTCAAGCTTTTAGTACACAGAACTGTTAAAGAGGGGTGTTAATTTTCTGGGAAACTAAGCACTACATCCTGAAGCATTCAGGATTTGCTTTTCCCTTGAAAAAAAATAATTTAGTCTAATTTAATTGCTTGCTCAAATATCCTTTGTTAAGCAAATGAAATGTGTTTTCATTCATCTTTTGTAAAGGAGGAAAGATTCCACAGCTTCTGGGTAGAGTACAGATTCCATATTCAGTTTACCAGATTCACGCAGGGGTTAGAAATTAAAATACATATGTCTTTCTGTTTGATATTTGCTGGTTTTCAGCAGGACTTGGCCCTGCTGCTGCCCCGTGAAGGGGAGGGGAACTCTTTCTCCCAGGCCTTTTGAGTATATTTACACACCTAGAGCAGATCCTCATTCAGTTGTGCTCTTCCTTCTAGTGAAGAGATGGTAAGCCCAGCTCTGTTGCTATCAAAAGTAGTGTTCATTTACTATTCAATCACGCAGTTCTTTCATCTTCTGAGCAAAAAGGTTGACTAAATAGGAATGCTGGATTTTACCTGTGGCTATGCTGGAAGACTAAATGCTGTTTTCTCTCTTTCTTTTCTTCCCCTTCCTGCTTTTTAAAAAAATCTTTTAAAGTAGAGTAAAGTCACTTTGTCAAATGCACAGTGAGGACTAATAAGTCAATGTTTGTTCAGAGCTTTGGATGTCTTAAAACTTATTTGGGATGAGTGCTGAATATTAGCCATCTTTATGCATTGGCTTGATTATAACCAGCATCTCGATGGAGAAGTTTTTTTTTTTTACCATTTAAATCAGGTGCAATTTAGGATTTTATTCTCACTGTTTGTGTATATTTTTATATACATTTATCATGTACTTGCATATTAAGTTACAGATTTTCGAGTATCTATATTTTTAAAAAATTGGAGTGTTTTATATGAAGAAAAATACACTTATACACTTATATTTCTGTTTTATTTTCGATGTATTTTAGCTAGTCAAGGTATTTCATAGGTATTTGAATATTCTGAATTACTATTTGGACATCATCAGGCCAAAACAGGGAACTTCTTTTATCTGTAGAAATGAGAGTATCCTTGCAGTAGTATTGTTACCAGTTGCATGCCTGAATGATTTTGCTCAGTATATTGCATTGTCTTCTATTAGTAAAATACCAGAGTCAGAGTAAAAAATTAATTTGAAGTGGTTATTGAGAAGAAAACTTAAATTCTTGTGGGAATTGTCTAGATTCAGGTGCAGAATTTTACTTAAGGTTAATGCTAACATTTGGAATTGAGCAAGAGAAGAGTTCTTTTATATATTGTCAAGGGTTTTTTTGAGGCGAAGAGAGGCTGAGCATGTGCGATTCTAAATATGATGCTTCATTATTTTATCATATTTGTGGTTTTTTAGGACTAGAAATATGGTATTCAAACAAATGTTCCTTGATGTCTTAATGCAACTTAATGGAATCTGTATGTTAAGTAATCTGAGTCTACCACAGGTTTTATATCACCTATTGCCATATAAAAAATAACATGAACTCGTGTAATTGAATGTTCTGCACAAGACTTATCTAAAATGATATATTGGTAGCTCTGTGTTCAGCTGTTAAGATAAATATTTGATTACATCTGTATTACTTTAGATGATTTCATTTTGTAGGAGGAGATGGTAGTCTATTGGTAGACAAAAGAGAAAATCTTTTTCATACCAGCAAACAATGCTCCATTTTAGAATCTGATGAATTGAACTTCAGTGCTGAAGCAAAATATTGGTGAAGCATTATACTTTGGGAGAACAAGAATATGAACCTGAGTAAAGAAATCTGTATGTCTGGGGTTTTTTTCCTGATAAAGCAATCAATTTATGGACATTTGTGAAAGATTTTAAATTACCATGTTTTCTCCATTTACTGACACAGTGGGCTTCAAAATTTATATTATCTTATCTTTAAAGCCATTACAGCATCAGCTGAAAAGACTTTAAATCAATGCAGTTACACCCTTCTCTTGCCATGTGTCTGTAAAACACGTATATGTTCATATGCAAGTTTGTGTAATATAAAAAACAAAGCTAACAGCAAGCAACTAGATTTGTATTTTTCCTAGTTTGAGTATGTTTGGAAAATTTATTTTGTTATTTCATATTTTTATTTGCAGATCAGATAGAATTACTGGCACAATATGTAAATTTATTCTTCTATTTTTATTTAGTTTGACAAAGGATATGCTTACAGCATTCGCCACAGCTATGGGAAAGAAGGAAAGAGAACTGATTATACCCCATACAGCTGCATGAAGATTATCATGTCCAATCCACCAAGTCAAGGGGATTATCATGGTGAGTTCCTTAAGGAAAAATCCCAAATGTTTGCAAACAGCAGAATCCCTTGGCTGCTAAAGAGAAGTTACTCCATCCTGTAGTCTCTTAAATTAAGTATTTAATTTCTAGACCCTAGTTGTTTTGAACTGTTCTCATTAGATCAGACTTGATAACTTCTCTTTTTATAAATGTTGTGTCATGCAGTTCTAGGAGACTTTAAATGTACAGATGCTTTAAGAAATGACCAATTGGAGGTGTTCTGAGATATGAATTCAACTGTACAGGAATTCTGAAGTTTGCTAGGGTACTTTAAAGCCTCTTACTTCTGTGTGACTAAACATGGAAAACCACCACTGGCTTCACTGGTGTTATGCTGGTACTAAGTCATTCATTCAGCTGTGTCTCAAAACTAATTCTGGAACAAAAAAATTCCACTGTTATTTAGGTGGTGGAACTGTATAAGGTATTTATAAAGAGGTATTTTTACTGTGCTTTAAATTACTTGTATATTCCTGGTTTTTTCCCATTATTAAATGTACCAGTGATATCATTGTTAGTAAGGAACTAACTTAAACTCTTTTCTTGTCAGTGAATGAGAATTGTGGCCTGTTTATGGTGGGATATTTTATGTAACTCTTGAGCCTGTGGTACCCTGATAACTCTGCAGTAGAGTAATTATTTAGAGAAAAGAAAAAAAACCGAAGCAGTTGTACACATGGGTAATTAACTTTCCTATTAATAAGCTGTTAGGCAATTAGGAACAGCTTAGCTGGTCTCTTGAGTGCCTTACTGCACTAACTCCTGAGTAAACAGCCTTGTTTGTGAGCTTGCTTGTTTTTTACTGTCAGGGTGCCCATTCCGACACAGTGATCCTGAGCTACTGAAGCAAAAGCTGCAGTCGTACAAGATCCCTCCCAGTGGAATAACTCAGGTAAGGCGTATTTTGCTTGACACTTTAATTAATAAGGCACTGATTTTCAATTTTACTTTCTATTTATGTAGGAATGCTATATGCAATTTGTCAGTGTGTATTGTGAAATATTTCTTCTTATGAAAGGTTTAAACCAGAATCTTGGCTTTCTGGCTGCAGTGCTCCTGCTGATGTGATGATTATTGTCACCAGCTTTTATTGTTTAATATTATGAGTTGGTTTATTACTATGGTGGATACAATGTAGAATTTTGTTCTACTGCAGTGTGATTAAAAAAGAAGTTTAAATTAATACGGCAGTGTTTTAGAGAATTTATTTTTACTCTTGCAGTGACTTGTGGATGACTACTCTGTAGTCAGTAGACATATGTAATTGTTTTTTATAATAAACTTCTAAACCCCATACATTCTTAATCATCCATTGTGCTAACTTCCCTTAAATAACAAAAGCACATGAAATGCCTAGTGAAATTATATAGAGATTTTTATCAGCTTTTAAACACGTAACATTAAATTAGAAACCTACCTTGTATAGCAAGGACAATGTAGAAATTGGAACTTTGAGGTGTGTACTGAAGAACTGACTCCCATTCCTTGCTCTAGCAGGAGCTTAAGGCAATGAAAGTTTGCCATCATTTTCACTGGAGGAAGACATATGGGTTAGATTTAAGCTGAGACAAAACAGTTGTGTATATTAACTGCCTGAAACTTGCTTTAGGTCCATAGGAAAAACCTGCTTTAAGTTGTTGTCTTGAGTTCATGTGGAGTGTCACCATTGCTTGTCAGGCATCCAAAGACTGTCGAACTAGATAGAAAAGAATGTGAAAGTTCCACTTAAAGCAGTCTGCCTTGGAAGGAATAATTAAGATGCAAATAAAAAGAGAATGGTTTTAAAGAGTTTAGTGTTCACTCCAATTCTTGAAATACCCAAATACCCAGACTTTTTCCTAGTCATGGTTTTTCTTTTTTTTTTTCGTATTTTCTCCTGGTTCATATGAATAAGCCTCCATCTGTCTGACATGAGATATACTCTCCTTTGGCTTTTTTCCTTTTTATATGCATCAAAAATTGATACCGGTCTGAGATTTTTATCCTGCTAATCATTGGAAAGATTGGTGAGGATTTACTGGTTTAACAGCCTTCTGTATGTGTGGGTAGGATTTAGTAGAGGTTATTTCTTCAGTGAATTTGCACAGTAAGGCAGTATCTTTTTACTTAACATAGTTCCTTATTTGATGTGAATTGTGTTTTTATTTTTGTGTGTCTGTATTTTTTTTCCTTTGTAAAGCAGAATTGGAATTCACTAGGACTCCTAAATTGTCTTAAGAAAAGTGACTAAGAAAAACCATTTCCGTCAACGTCTTCTTTGCCTGGAAATAGGCACTGTCCTGTCCATGAATTTTGTGGTGCCTGTTTAAGTGCAGTCAGAGTACAGGGCTCTGCAGTGTCCACTCCTAGTGTTAAAACAAAACAAATCCAGAACAATACACCCTTCACACAAAGCCAAATAATAATAATAAAAAAAAAAGTTGGCTGTGCCTGAGTTTTCAGAAATTAATCTTTTACATCAGTCTTTGAGATATTCAGTAAGAGAAGAGGAAGAAAATTAGTTCACATCTGTCTCCAGGTTTTCGTTATTGCTGCCACTTGTTGTTGCTCTGTTTGCATGGTCCAATAATGTTTGCATGATTAATAACAATTAAAGATTCTTCAGTCCAAACCGTAGCTTTTAAGAGTCTTTTCCGATGCTGATGATAGTTAATGATTATCAGAAGTGTTATTTTTCCTTTAGCTCAGTGAATTAGGGGTTGGATGGTTTACCACTCTCAAAGCCTCTGGTGTAGTTGCTTTTCCAGTATGTGAGTCTTTAGATTGACATTCACCCAAACCATGCATACCTTTTTACTCTCTTAGACCTCCTGTTAACTCCAGATCCAATGAGAGCTCCCTTACAGCCTGGTAGATTGCTATTTTTAATGAATCATTCAGAGCTTGACCTTTCAGCTATGTATTTTAATAAATGGTATGTCTTTTCTGTGGCTCAGGGCCTCTTACACTCTGTAACAAAATTCTATGAATGATGCATAATTTTTCAAACATTTATTTTGGATTTAGCTGTGTAGTTATGAATTGGTTTCCCACTGGAATTTTCATCTTCTGGTTTAGAGTACTCACATGTCTTCTGCTGAAGCCCATGAACAAGTCACTTTCTCGTCTTGGTTTCTCACTTGGCTATTATGTGAGCCAGAATGTGGGCCCTTATGGCTGTGATTTTACCCAAGATGGTTAGTTTTGTAGTGCTGTTGTTCTCAGTCATCCGTTTCAAGGGCTGTCCATACTCTTGGCATACACTCTTTCCTTTAAGGTTCAGAAGAATTTCTGAGTCTTCCCATACAGATAAAGCATTGGCGGGTGGAAACAAACCCCATCCTCAAAGGGCTTTTCACACAGGACTAGGTGTGAAAAAGGAATCCTGGACCTTGGGATGATGGTGCAGAGCAAATACAACCAGACCTCACGTGCCTTCAGTAATCAGTCGGAGCATTAGACGGCTTTCATTGCAGCTATTTTGTAGTACTGTCAGTACTGAAAAAAGTGATCAAAACATTTGAATATGTGAATGTTCTTGCAGTGAATTGTCTAGATTCAACCTGTAGTCCATATTTTCTGAGGCTTTATCTTGTTTAAGATTCTGTCTGCTGAAGTCATCTTCTGGAAGTAATACAGGAGATAACTTCCAGGTCTTCTCTAGTTATTATGTAGCCTAAAGCAGAAAGAATTAATCCTGATGTTTATTCCAAGAACTGAATTATTTAATTTGCATTCATTTCACATTTTCCTTAGGCTAGGCTATTTCTTTATTTGTGATTGTAGCTTTTTCTGTTTCTTTTAAAAATACTTCATAGAGAAAGAATATGGTTAGCTGAGCATCAAATGTGTGAGTGTACAACATTTGAATTTATAGTGTATTTTGGATCATATTTCATTTCTGTCTTTTATATAGTGCTAATTAGGTAAAATCTTTATGAAATCAGGTTTGACAATAGCTAATCAATTTGAAGACTATAGATGAAAATATAGTTAAGATATTATGTCTTTACATATGGGAGTTTGAACAATTGCATGTAGTGATAGGACAGTGAACGATGGCTTCAAACTGAAAGGGAGTTGGTTTAGAACAGATATTAGGAAGAATCTCACATAGGAAGATAGAAATTATAGGGTTTGAACTAGAGTTATTTCAAAATATTATATTATTGGTTTCAGAAAGTTTTCTTGGAGAAATCACCCATTTCCCAATTTGCATCTATCACAACAGGAAAAGCAAAAGGTAGCTAAAATATGTGGTTTTACAATCAGGAAAAATAGAGGTTCTAGACTCATTCTTTTTGCTTTTCTATTAGGAGGAAAAGCATTTCTTGAGGGAAAAATGCTTATGTAAATGAACAGTAGATAACTTCAGAAGATGGCATGTTCTTTCTAGGAGAAGTGTTCTCTTAATTTAAAAAGGGGTTTTTTTCCATGGGCCACAGTGGCTCATCTGGTCCAACCTTCCTGCTCAAGCAAGGGCATCCCACAGCACATGGCACAGGATTGTGTCCAGATGGTTCTCGAATATCTCCAGTGAGGGAGACTCCACAATCTCTCTGGGCAGTCTGTTCCAGTGTGTGGTCAACTGTGCAGTAAAGAAGTTCTTTCTTGTCTTCAGGTGGAACTTTCTGTGCATCAGTTTCTGCCTGTTGCCTCTAGTCCTTGGTAATACCGAGAAGAGCCTTGGCACCCTCCCTTCAGATACTTATAGTCATTGTTAAGGTTCCTAATAATAAGAAACTGTAAGAATACAGAAGACTTCTCGAGTATGTGCACAGATTTATTATACATGGAACACAATTGAAAGTATAGAAGGTACATGGTTGAACTAGAAAATGTACTTTTTAAAGTTTGGATTTTATATTCTGACCACCAAAAGGATGTAATAAAAATGTAGTCAGGTGCTACTGAGACTGTTTATTATTGAATCACAGTATGGTTGAGGTTGAAAGGTGTGTCTGGAGGTTATCTGAGAAAATTGTGCTATACATGCATACATTATAAACATGAAACCTTCAAAATCAATTTAAAATATACAGGGAATACCTGAAATCAGTAGAAAGGACAGATGACTGTACTGACCAGGAGAAAAAAGGCACTGGGGAGTTCTGGGGCCAGATTTAGTGTTGAGATGGTCACAGAGTGGCCTGAAAGAGAAGAGTAGAATGTGTTCAGATAACCTCCAGCAGTTGCACCCAATCATATCTTCAGTCATCTTTGAAATAAAAAGAATGATAGAATCTTTAGGTTGGAGAAGACCTTTAAGATTGAGTTCATCACCCAACACTGTCAAGTCCACCACTAAACCATGTCCCCAAGTGCCACATCTACACATCTTTTAAATACCTCCAGAGAAGGTTAGAAATGAGTCATACATTACTGAATCTATAGTAGAAAGATTTTCATGTTAAAAATATAAGTTAATTCTGCAATTTAAAAAAAAACAACAAACCCAAACTTATTTTGAGTAAGTGAAAATAATGATGGATAATTACAGAGCCCCAACTACCCTGCTATGAAACATCTTAGCTTTGAGTCCTGAGAATCTATAAAAGCAGGTGACTGCATACAGCTGCCAAACATCATCTTACCCTCATTAGTAGTCAGTAGAGCAACATCAGAAAAGCAAGTTGCAGATGGCAGTGAAGGAAAAGGCGCATAAGGACTAACAGAGTCCTTGAGTATGTACCTTTACTTGCAAAATAAAGCAATGCAGTGTGAATATCTTAATATATGTAGAGCCAAAAGATTCCTGCTGTGAATTAAGCTTTGAGTGGAGGTCTGTTATTGGGTAACACTAGTGAAAAACAGCTCTAAGCTTGCTTTCATTATGTACACAAATGTACAAAAGATAATACTTATTATGAATTATAATTCTGTTTTATTTTAATAGAGAATTTATAGTTTCTCTCACACAGATGACTCCTTTCCATCTGACCTCCATTCTATTGCAGTTTTTAACTTTTTTTTTCCTCTCTTAGCAACTTGATCCCTGATTAAAGCAAGTTAATCTACTAACTGTTTTTCTTTGAATATGTTTGATGTGCCCCTTATTCCTCAGTCCTTTCATATACATGGAAAGTGGACCTGGTCCCCCTGATGTGGCTGGTTTAAACTTACATGTGTACTAAATATTAGGCTTATCATTGATGCCTTGTGGCTGCCTCTCAGAAGGATTATGAACTAAATTATAACTGCTTTTTTATTTTTTTTCTGAACGAGCCACAAACGTTGGTCTGACTTTTCTACCCAACCACAGCTTTTCGTCAGCATTTAGGTTTGTCATCTCTACTTGTCAAATTTGACTGAAACTGGCCAACTGTTTCAATCTGGGGAGGTGATGTGATGGAGAGGGTAAAGGAACAGAAGTAAAATGATGACCAGTGCAATCACGTACATTGATGAATTTAACAAACTGGATGAAAGTTTCTGGACTGTTCTGGTGGGCATCTATTCTATGGAGCACTCTATCCATGTCAGGAAGAGAAGTGGCATGAAGATCTAGTTATGAAACTTCGCTGGAGAATGCTGATATGGGTTCTTCTCACAGCTGTTTTCCAAGATACGTCTTCATAGTAGTACAGCAGAAACATCTGTGTGGATTTTCAAGGGAGCGGGACAGTAGTTCCTTGGCGAAACAAAAGTGTAGCTGGGAAATAAAGATTGACCTGCTGCAAAATAACATTAAAGGCCAGCTCTGATAACGTGACCATTATAGCTTTCATATGTCAGTGGCATCAATTCAATGAAGTCCTTGTCTCCACCTTAAAGGCAGGTCAAGATTTTGACAAGAATGGGCTTGGTTTCAGAATAGTTTGCTCAGAACTGGAATTTATTTTTAAGTGCCCCTTTATTGTGTTATCATTTTTGCTGTGTCAGTGATCCCTCTTCTGATATCTGTCACTTGAGTTACCATTTTTCCACTGAACTGTCAGGGAAGACAACAGCAGCTTGGTCTCTCATCCTCTGAGCTCTTGTGAATTAATAATAATTAAAATAATAAAATAATAATTAAAAGCTAGCTTTGGTGATCCTTGTCTTTTGTGCTTCTCAGGGTAGTTGAACAGTGGCATCACTGATACAAAAAGCAGCTATAACTGTGGTCTGCAATTCAGAAGTTAAACAAACTGTAGATTGTTTCCTAGTCTTTAACTGATAAGCTTGTTCAAAAAGTTCATTGCAGTTATAAGAGAACCTTGATGCTTTCTGTCTTTTGGGGTTTATAGCAAGAATTTGTCCATACCTAACTTTATGTTTTCTCACTTAAGATCACTGAGACTTCAAATGTATTTACACCTAAATTTAGAAAACTTCATATTTATATAATTTTATTAGGTGTAATCTTGACTAAATGAAGAAAAATTTTGAGAAAACCTAAAGTGTTTATAAACTAGATTAAATTAGTTGACTTATTTCAAATGGGAAATTCAGGTTAGAAGAGTCTGAATACTACAGAACATCGTGAATGTTTCTTTCAACTGACCAGCAGACAAACAGGTCTTCTGATAATTACTCTAAATTGTGTGAAAAAATACTTTTAAAGAAAGTACATACATACAACATAATTAGCATTTTCTTTAAAATAGAGGTAGCTCGTTTGCATAGCATAGCATAATGTAAGGAACAAACAGGAAAACATAAGGCAATATAAAAGTGAATAGATGAGTTTTCTCCAATCCTTAACTACTAATTTTTTCAGTCAATTTCAAGGAGAGAGAAGATTAAAAAAAGAAATAAATGTATCTACCCAGATAGTACCAGATTTCAGACTTCATTGCCTAGTTGGCCTTGGCCTCTTTTACAGAAGGTGTAACAGTAGGTGGTGAGAGGGATAGAAATGTAATCAGTTCGGCTATTACATAGAAATAATGTGGCTAAGTACTTTCCTGGCACTGTGTTGCAGTTTTTATCCATTCAGCAAATGTGATTTATTTATACATCTGTCAATAAATACAAGGCAGCATCTGATAATGAGTACAGCAGGGATTTAAGCTGTATATTGCTGTGTTTGACACAAAGGTCAACCTTGGGAAAGGGCTTGAAATTAACATTTCTTGAAAACTATTTTTCCTTCCACTGAGACTATCTCTTAATTCCAGCAATTTTCTCTGTTTGATAAGCAGAGAGAGCATACATTTTGATTATATAAAGGAGGGAGGAGGTGATGAAACTTTAAAATATTTCAACCAGCATTGCATTCTGGTGATAAGAATGGGACTTTATGCAGCACAGAAGAGATTACCTGAAGTAGAATTGGAAAGTAAATTGTATTTACAAAAGATGGCATGATTTTCCTAATAGGTGTTCAAAACAGCCTATTCACTCACATATTCTGCTGAGCTTGACTAGAAATAGCTTCATTTTAAAAAGGACAAATCTGATTGAAGGTAAAAGCATTCCTCTCTCACAGATACTTGTCTAAAGGATTTGCATTAAATTTTCTTGATGGGAGCACAGTATTTTACTGTGCATCTCCATGAACTGGTAATGTGGAAAATAAGAATACAAGTCATGTCCTTGATTGCTTCATGCTTCAACCACTTGAATTACTAGATTTATGTCTACAGTTTTGGAAGTGATGTTGCAATATGATACTTTGACAATAACTGTCACAATTATATTACTAAAATATGGATTCAACTTATTGTTGAAGTTAAGAGTATTGAAATTACATTTTAAGGACCAGGCATACCTTCCTTTGGTTTTATCTTGTTTTTAGTGTAGCCAGGGAATTTTTAAATGTTGTCAGTTATTAGTAGAATACACAGATGTCATGTGCTGCAAGTGTCCATGGGCTGTTGTACAAGGCTGTTGTGGAATACCTTGTTGTGGAAGATCAACAAGATGTATGTGTACTACTTCTGAATCCGTCACATTTTTCTCCCTCTCTGTAGATCCTGGAGTTGGTGAAGGGCATGCATTACCAACTGGCCTGTCAGAAGTACTTTGAGTTGACACATGAGGTAAGTAGCTACTGATTTTTGTTTCAGCTATTATCAGTGACTCTTGAGGAAGGCCTTGGAAATCATGCTTGAAGTCCAGAGACTATTTTCAGTTTGCACATCCACCATTAGCTGTCTTGCCTTGTTAGTTTTCAATAATTTCAAATATTCTTTTGTAATTTTCTGCATTTATTTATTGATGTTATTAATACCCTCAACATTACAAGATGTAGTAAAATGTTATGCTTTTTTCCTGAAAAGGTCAATATTGTTGAATTTTAACAATTTCAGGTCATTTCACTTTCTCAATATCCTGCTTTTAATGAAATTTATGGGTTTTAATGCATTTTGTAAGTTTGATGTTGTTTACATACACCTTAAAAAATTAACAGAAAAGTGTAATTTAAGCTAATCTCCCAGTCTGTTCACAGTTAATATTGTTAATTTTTGCTTGGTATTTTTTCACATCTGTAGTCATGTGTGATTATTTTTTAAATCAAGATGAACATTCTCAGAGCTTTCCCATTTGCTTAATTGCAAGCAAAGTTAAAGTAAGATCCTCCAGAAAATTTCAAGATAGCAAATGGCCACACTCCATCTCCTGTGTGATTTCTTGATTCAAAGAACCAGCTTTTGCACTGGTTCAAAATTCCTTTCATCAAGAAAAAGCAATGAAGCAGAGCCCTTCTTATAGCTTTGTTCTCTCCACAACCCAAGAAATGGATATGTCCCTTTCAAACAGCAGGGTATATTTGTTGCTGTATATGTTGCTAAAGATATGGATGAGGATTAGATGACCCACCCAGAGACTTATGGTTGACTTTTTTGTTCTTCCTGGTTTTCACATTGGATTTAAATGGAACTGTTTCTCTTCATAAATTTCCAGCAATCATGTATATGAGTGTATAGCAAAGGTATACTCTGAACCTCTATCCAGTATTGTTTTGGCGGCTGTAATTTGAGAGGAACACTTTCTCTTAGTCTTAGGAAATGTGACAACAAACCTAATAATCTGGAAGTAAATTCAAAATTATGTACAATTTGAAATTTAGATAACACTTGGCCCGTGTAAGCCCAAGTCAGTAGAAATAATATTTTCCAAAGATGACTATAGACTCCAAGGTCAACATTCAATGAAGGATAAATCAACACAGTGCATTTTAGGAAAGCTGTCTTTCCATTCTTCTATGGCAAATTCCAGAACAGCATTATTTTTTATCAGTCTTGTGGTAATATAAATATCTGTCTTTGCTGCTTGCATGAAGAATCATCTTTCTGCTTTGCTGTTAATAAATGTCTTATTTCAATGAGAGAAAGCAGAATACAGAGAAAGACACTTCCCATAATTTGCATGGCACATACTTTTTTTTAAGAGAATTTAGCTGCTCAACTTGTTACCGGCCTGCTTGGAGTGATTTTTGTATCCTACAACTGTATGCTTTATTAATTTTTTATTTTTTTATGGGATAGTTAAAAATGTGTCTCTGACCTTTGTTTTTCTATATATCACTAGCAGGGTTTTTCAGTGAAAGAAGCTTCAGAAGAATCAATTAGCCTAACATTGATTGTTTCTTTGAGTAGAGGAACAATCTTAAGTAAAATTTTCTTATAAATAATGGACTGGATCACGTGGAGAATTTTAACTTCAATTATGTAAAAATTTTACCGAGAAACTGTTTGATATATGTTGGGTAGAGCTGTTAGTGTTACTTGTTATTCTTGAAAGTTATGGTGTGTATGTGGGTTAGATCAAGTATGAATGACTTTTTAGTGGAGACTTGATAAGATTATATTTTTCTAAGTTCACAGGGTCAGCTTCTGTAGTCTAGTCCTTGGCACTGAGACTGTGCTAATAAATACAGCTGGACTAGAGTGAGAATGTTTGGATATATTTTTCGGGAGGCTGGTGATGAGAGTTGTCTTTACACTTTGATACTACTGGTTCAAACAGCACAGGTTATGAAAAAGCTGATTTTCTTTGTAATCTGTGTAACCTAGACTTATTAATTTCAATGCTACACCTCTCCTGATCTTTGTTTTCACTATTTTGCAACCACAGAACAAAAGCAGCCATCATTTCTGTGGTCCAGCACGTTGTCTTCAGGCAGGAACTAGTGTATGAGTATGCAATTTGTTGACTATTTTAATAAGTCTGAGAAAGAAAAGTTGCAGCGCTATAAGTGTGGTTTTTCTGTAATATCACCTGTAGCATTATCAGCTGTCATTTTTTAAGTTCTTGATTAAAACCCAGGGATGCTTTAAGTTTTTCAAAACAATATTTGCTACAGGAGAAATATAAAACTGGAGTTTGTGTGAAAGCCAGTGTGTGCAACATGTGCTGAATCCACAGTTCTGTATGAAGTGATACGTCCTTTTGCTTGGGTCAATACATGTTGTGAGCTTAAATTTTTAACTGCACAGAAAATACATTTTTCATTGGGTATAATGGATTCTAGGTAGATTTACAGGTGTGAATGGACAAAGCTGTTAGAGAAATCTACTTTCTCTATTTCTGGTAGTAAGTTTCAGCTAACATACAACTAAGTTAATGACAAGGCTTTTAAAATTGATGTACTTTGATCTACATTACCTAAAAATATTGTAAAATTTAGATAAAGTAAAAACATGAGGAATCTAACATAAAAAACCTCCATTTTTTTGTTCAGAGTTCTTGTAAATTTCCAGCGAGAGTAGAATATTTTTATTCAGAGAAACGCTCACTGAACCTGGTTGAAAATTACAGAGAACAGAATTGTTTCTGTATCACTATATCACAAATGAAGATGATGATATGAACAAATCTTCACCTTTCTCTCTTCAGGCACTTGAAAAATGTGATAGTTTGCACAGAATTCTTTTAATTAAAAGTTGTATAAGCTTCATCCAGTAGTTTTGATTTAGTAGTATTCAAGTTTGAAAAGGAGAAATGGTACATGAACTCATACAACAATATTAACTAACAACCTGTAAGTAGCTTTTAGCCAAATACCATTAATCACCTCTGAAAACAGGATTGTAGGCTCCCATTCATACAATGAACTGCTTCTACAGCTTATTCCAATTTTTTGGGGAGAGAGGAGTTTAGAAGAAAATTAAGAGTTACAAAGTGACTCTTAAATTGATCTGAAGAAAACTGAGATTTTAAGGATAAAAAAACCAGAGCTAATTAAGAGCTTCTTCTAGAAAAGCTAGTTTTTCACTATATCACTTCTTCTTAAGCCTTTTTGGTATAAAGAAGTAATTTAGTTTGCACGTAATGAAGACTGGAGCATGGATGAAAGCTGTCTGGATGAAACTCATCCAGATAAGACTGAAATGAAAAATGAAGTTCAGTGATGGTTTTGTTGGTTTTTTTGGTTGGGTTTTTTTTTTTTTTCTTTATGCCTTAGAGTACCAAACTGGAGTGCTAGGACTGTTACTGACTTTTAAGATTTTTCAAGCAAGGTCACTGACTACAGTTGCTAATTCATGTCTAAATTAGATTTTGTTATCCACACCACCATTTTCTAATGGAGGCAGTGGTAATGCATTTAATCAGGGTTCCATTTAGAGTACACACTGATCCTCTGCTTTATGATTATTCACAAGTGGCTGAAATTTAAATTGATGGGGTTTGGCATATTAAATTAGCCACACTGTGTGTCCTCAGGAGACTCTGTGTGTACAGAGTTGCTTGTTATGCTTGAATTGGCACCACCCTGCTACGAAAAAGGGAATATAGTGGGAGCAGAAATTTACTGGCATATGACTCTTAGTCTTCCATTGTTTCTTGTGTCCCACGTTTGGTAAACTTTCCAATGTATTTTAAGAGCACTATTTTTCTTAAAATGTTCTTAGAATTCACATGAACTGACAGGCGGATAAAAGGTGCAAATTGCCTGAATAGAAGGTGGAAGCACCTTTTATTTTAAGTGAGCATTTCCGACTTCTGAGACCCCCAAAAGAAGCACAAAGATTATAACTGTGGTTTGTGGTAAAAACATCGGAAGATCTTACTTTCAAAGCTGAAAGCTTCGTTGATTTGAAATTGAATATTCATTTATCAAATAATTGCAAAGCTGAAAGAAGGTATATATAGGAGCAATACAAATATGCTGCACCTTATGATAGTTTTCTGTATTTTTTTCCACTGAAGATTAAATGTTCTTTGTTGTGCTTCTAGTTTCGGGATGCTGATGTTGGCACTGATGGAACAGAGCTAGGCTTGATCTGCTGAGTGTCTATCTTAGCCTGCTGCTTGTAAATATTGCCTTTGTGGCTACTGGGAAAAACGGAAGGAGGTGAAGCTACCTGTTTCCATTCACAGTTTCACACTGATAATTGAGATCTAGATTTATATTGTGCAGTTGTCACAACTTCTAGTAGTATTCTCTACTGCCACTTGGACTCTAGACTTGTCTGACTCCCCTTTTTGCATCAGGAAATTCTGTTTCAAGGTGCAGCTTCAATTGTCCTACATCTCTAAAGAGATGCCATTTTACTTACATTGTTTTAGATGTTTTGAGGTGTTACTTTTCTTTACTACAGCAATGACAGTGTGAAATAATGTTTGAATATGCCAAAGAAATTATTTCATGAAGGAAGAAAATTTGTGATGAAACTAGATCTGTTTCACTCTAATATTTACTGAGACAGTATTTAGAAACTGTTGTCTTTTTCTTCAACAAAATTGGAACTTTAAAAATTGTTAATTAATTTGTTCTTGAATATGAAAAAGATGACTCTTAGAAATAAATATTATAACTTGATGTTTATTTCTTTTTATGTGCAGGTTGATGACATTGGGTTTTCCTTGAATCATCCTAATCAGTATTTTACAGAGAGTCAAAGGCTATTAACTGGTGGTAGAGAACCAAAGAAGGAATTAAGTACTTCAGGAAACTCTCAACAAAAAAATAATAGTCAGGAAAGCATGAATTTTAATTCCACTCCCACCTCTTCAAATACAACAGCTGATACAGAACTGGAAGGACTGGAAGCCTACTTTGCTGAAGACTAAGCAGCTGTGTTACTTGGATGTTATTTGTGTTATTTTTTTCTTTCTTTCATTCTTTCCCTTCTCTAGCTGGCTTTGTCTCTATACTAAGGGATATGCACTTCACTACCTGGAATACGCAGACATTTTTTGAATAGACTGAAGAAAGAAAGATAGATATTGAAGCTGTAATTGCATCCAGTACCTATTTTCACCGCTTTAGGAGGCTGTTTTATATGGCATGTTTTAAGGATGAGAAATGAAAGTTCCTTCCCAGTTATTAGGTGATTTTTGTCTGATTTACCTTTTTTTGGTTTTCTTCAAAATGTTCAAATATTTTTACCCCATTTTGTGGTTGATTGTTTATGTATCTTCTTAATAAATAATTTGAAAAGCAAAAACTTCTGATATTTTCTTTTTAGCTGTATTTGGATGGTAATTAAGGGAGTTTCTTATGATCAAAATTACCCTCTGGAGGAGGTAGTCTGTCTCTTCTATATGAGCAGCTGAGGAAAATCAGCTTCCTCATTTGTACCTTGATACTAGATTTAGAGAGCTGGGTTTGGTGCTTGAAATAGAACATAAACAGAGTTTAGACACCTGTATGTAAGAAAATAATCAAAAAAGGCGATACTCGACCAACTGTCTCATCATGAAGAATCTAAAAGCTTATTAGTGTATATTCTTTTTCAAGTTTCTTCAATGTCTGAGTGTGGCTGGAGCCTCCTGTTTCTTGCTAAGCTAAACAGCTGTCTGAATGCAGCTTTGGATTACCTAAATTCTACCCATTGTCACCTAACACACAAACTGCTTTCAGTCCAGCAGTGACCACTGTGCAGTGGATGGAAGCTCTAAGCAGAACTGGTATTTTCTATCATGCTGTTAGAGTACTCTCCCAGGGATTTAAAAGACGTTAATTTTATTTTACCTGATGCCTAAGGAGTTTCAAGGCAATATTACACCCTCCCTGGAGAGTGACTCATCTACTGGTATAGCCCTGTAACCACACAAACATGGTATTGTCATTGCTAGTAACTTGTATTAGTTCTGCAAGGCCTTAGCATGACGACTCACTGAGCTTTAGTTTTCTGAGTTTGCCTTATCCCACCTGAAGCTTTGTTTCAAATGTAACAACATCTGTCAAATGACAGCCTGACTTTGTGGAGTTGTGTGCTGTACTGCCTATAGTTTATAATAATTCTGATATATTTCTGTGGTTAATGGCTAGTAAGTAATAAGTAGTTATTTTTAGAATTAATTAATATATAATATTAGGTGCCCATCCTTAAACAAATACAACCTAAAGTGTTGTGCAAAACAAGTTTTTAGGGATAAGAGAAGAAATAACAAATATACAGTATCAGTAAACACACATTATATATAAATAATTATTTGGCTATAGTGTGGAATTTGCAGACAATGAAGAAAGAACAGCAAGTAGAATGCTTTTGGAAATGTGTTGTATTACACCAGGTGGACTCTAGAGAGAAGAAAGAACCGTCCCCACCATCAGCATCCACCAACTCCTGATAAACGATGTGGGACCCTGACTGTGTGCTTTTGGTCTCAGGACCTGAAGGGGCAATGGAAAGGTGTGTGCAACACTAGAGAAAGGGAAGATAGACACAAGGGAGTATATGAGTATCTAGTGTATGAGTAAGTAGCTGTATTATGTTAGAGGTTTTATTTATATTGTGTTAGAGGTTTTATTTTCTCTACAATAAAACTCTAAAGACTTAAGACTGTGACTGGACTAAAGACTGTTTGATTACTGTTAAGATTTTGGACTAACTGTAAAATGTTGGTTTCTTATATAGAGAGTGTTTTTATGGGCCATAACTTGCACAGGGGTAGTGCAATACCAGGCTTTAAAAATAAAACATATTGTATGTTTTTAGAAGAGGATCCACCAGGTTCACTGTTCCTTTTATCTTCCTTGAAGTATTCCTTAGTTTATTTAGGGACTGCTTTGTGTAAACTACCAAGCCTTTGACTCCTTTGGATATTGTATATTCAAAGGAGTTGTAGAAATTCACCCTGGGCAAAGGCTCCATGCCTGAGTCCTGCAGGGTGATGGTTGTCCCGGGCCCAAGGAACAAGGAGTGACAAACAGCCATGGGCTTGGTTTCTGCTGTTGGTTAAGCTCCTGGCATCACCCCTCCTGGTGTGTGGAAGTCCACTGAATGTATTAGATGGTTAAGAAACTTGACTTTAGGGTTTTGAAGTGTCTTTGGAAATGGTAGCTTTCCTCTTAATTTTGCATTCCCGAATACCTGAGTTGGAAGTGCCTCAGTGGACATGACAGAACCTTTTGATAGAAATGAAACTCTTTCAGACCTGCAATGAGATGCATGTTCCTAAGTGAAACAGCTGGGAGAATAATGAGGTTGTCAAGGCACTGAATGCAGGTGGTGTTTCCCAGCCAAGGGAGAATGTGATTTCTGATTCAGCCCTAACCCTGCTCGTGCAGACATCAAACCATCAAACTTCTAGCTCTTCCTTTTTGATCTTTACCTGGGCTTTGAAATCTGTTATGGTAGCAATGGGCTGTTTGTTCACATATCCTACAAAGGATTGCTACGTTAGCAAAACAAGCTTATTTTTAGGAATTCGAGCACAAAATTAAAAAAAATAAGTCTCTGTTACAAGGAAGAGAATATAACCACACATTCTCTGAATGAAAATTCTTAAACTGAAGTGCAAGAAACATAAGGGTATGGGGCAAAGCCTTCGTTCTTCATTGGCTTTATTATTGTGAGTTTACCTCTCTTGATTAATAGTACTACAAATTTCTTTAAACTATATTTTCTTCCCTTTTCTTAGTCAGGAGAACTGTAGTAAAATACATAGCAGAAAAATGTACAAATACAAACTATAGCATACAGTTGCAAGTAACTAGCAAAGGATTGAAATGAGTGCTGTCATTGCTATTTGAAGAAAAAGGCGATTTATTTTCATATTTCACACATTTTTGCCATTTTGAATTTTCTTTGAAAGCTGAATATTTTGAAGTTGATAGTGTGGAAAAAACCAAAATGAGAATCCTCCTTGTGAGCTGTTGGACACCGACAAGCTTTAAGCTCTTACTGCTTTGTAAATTCAGTAAGAATGACTTTTTGCTTGATTACAGAGCTCTTTGAGATTAGAAAGGCAGAATCACTAAGAATATGTAAATCATTCATTTGAAAACACTTCCTGCATGGTAGTAGTGCTATTATAAGTATACTTAGTCAGAAGATAAGTATTCTGAAAACCAAAGTGACCCTGATATAACTATGCAGTAGCCAAAAATAGCAACAAACCAAATTACCAAATAAACCAATAACCAAAGCCAGACAAAATTCCAATCCCTATTTTACAAGTTAAAAAGAAAATATATTTCTGCAGTAAAGCATTGCAGATGGATCTGTTTGCAAGTATCAACTCTTCTAAGAGGATTTTTTAATTGTTATATTTTGCTACTTAAATAAAAACAGGATATACACGTACATCTAAGGTTTGAAACTGTTCTGGAGGAGACCCTTCAGTATTCTGCATCAGTAAAGGAGATACTAAGATGATATTTAGTTGTGTTTCTGAAGGGATGCACTATGCTAAAACATAGCCCTGCATAGCAATCATGCTCTAGTAGGAAGTAGTCTTCTTTCCATCCAACATCTCTTCTCAAATGTACCACAGTTCAGTTTGGAGATGGATGTTTCAAAAAGAATGCTGGTCCAAAGCTTGTGATCATCTGAAGTGCTAGCATCAAAGACAGTAAAAGTCTCTGACTTCAAAGCCTTTCAATATCTAATGAAGAGGAGAACTTACTGTTGGGTGTTCTGCAGAAGGAAGGCTGAGGCGGTTTGGGTGTGACTTAAAGTGTTCTGCTGAGATGTGGAGTGCTGCCCTGGCAATGGGTAAGGAGAGAGCAGCCCCTGCCATCATGGCACGATAGGAGCAGATCCGTGCAGCCAAACACCTGAAGCTGAGCACGTGGCATTCCTTCTCTGCATGATTTGGAAGCAGTGTGTGGTGAGCAGCTGTGCATTACTCTTTTCTCAAAGGTTTTATTCCTTTCTGTCCTTTTCATTACTTTTATTATGATTTTGGACTGTATTTCACATCATACTTTAGATGTTATTTATTTTTTTTAAAGCATATATAGCTTATTCCAAAATTTGTATCCATTTCAAGTCCTTTAAAAATCCACAAAAGAATCGCTGTGTCCTTTTAGGTCATGATGTGTTTGTTGTCTTTTTTTTTTTTTTTAATTTGTTTGCTATTTTTACTACACTGTAGATCTGCTAAATAACTGGCATCTTCTAACTAACCTTTGCTGTTCACAGTTCCTGTATTATGTCAACATCAAACTTCTATCTTTGGTATCTAGTTGACAGAAAGAAAAATAAAGACTTCCACCCCTTAACGTGCTTACTTGCTGAGATTTGTTTAAATCCCTCAAATGCTGAAGGATCTACACAGTTTGGATTGGACAAAGGTTATGATCAGTGGGTGTAATTCAATCCCCCAAGAAACCTGAACTGTTTAGGTAAGTAAATTGATTGGAATACAGGTATAAAAACGGTTGGGATAATGTCAAGAGTGAATTGTAGCTGCAAAATATATAGGAATAGATACCTAAATAATAACTTGTTAACAGAGGAAGCACTGAAAGGCTTTAGAAGTGATTTAGGGTAGGTAAAAAGTAGATCAGTAGCTGGAGACTTGAAGGTGATATCAGCATGTATCATTTGAGGGAGAGGAGGACTTGGTGATTAGGTACAAAAAGAAGAAAAATATATGATTTCTCTTAAAAATTACAACCACAATGAAAGGATCACAGGATGCTGAGTTATAGCTGAAATGAAAGTTTTCAACCAAGTCCAAGATGTTTTGTCACATAATCATAAACCTTAATTAAGAAGGTTCATGAACATGGGATAATGAAAAGACATCAGTATAGCAGAAGCAAATATGGCACAACTGTAATATTTATTTATTAGAAGAATATTACATTCTACTCAGGATCAGGGTTGTATCGTGGGAGGAGTTATGCAAACAGAAAGTCTACCATGTTCAATGGCAGGACTTACAAAGTGAACTTCAGTAAAAATCAGCTTAGAGAAAATGTCTTTGCTCAGTCTGAACTAGTCAAATGGATGCATGAACTACTGGATGAAATGTAATGGTCTGTGTTGCGCTGTTCAGAGCAGATTATCTGACTGGCCCTTTTGGCTGTTAAAGTCTATGACACATTGTTTTATTTTTATGCTTAATAAGAATTTAATCTTCCAAGCTGTGGAGTGTCCTTGGTTCAGACAGCTACTCTAGCGCTTTTGGGTTGAATACAGAGGCAATCTAAGAGAGACTGAAGAGTTAGAAATGTGTGATTCAGTCACTCGGTGTTCAGGTCTTTGACATGTCAGTGGTTTGGCCAGCTACAGTTTTCAGA